CAATGAAAAAAAAAAAAAAAACAGACAATTCAGAATTTCGTAAGGAAAATCCGAGGGAATGGCGTGGTATTTATAGCCAACAGGTTGAATTCAAACGAAGATGTGCAACTCTTTCAGGTGGCCTTTCGCGTAAAACGGCTATTACGAAAATCGTAATTTACGCAAAATAAAACGGAAAAATAAAATCAGAGGGAAAATTAGTTACCGTTAGAAAATGATCATTACATGTTAATATTAACAAATAAATATTGTCCAAACCCGAAATTGAACCGAGCAACGGCGGCGCGAGACTTGCCTTCTTCTCAACTGTTTAAGAGCAAGAAGAAGTGTAATTGCATATAAACCCTCCAAATATCTTTTTTCCCCTCTAATATGAGACAATGTTCCAATATAAAGAAGAAAAATTCAAAATTTTATTTTTTCCCCTCCATTTCCCATTTACACCACTTTTGAGCCCAAAAAAACCAACAATACTAACAAAATGTAACCTTCTCATATACAATAACAACAACAACAACAACAAAAAACTCAGTATAATCTCACAGGTGGGGTCTGAGGAGAATAGTGTATACACATACCTTACCCCTACATTGTGAGATGCATCACAACTAGATTTGGTTAATATTACCGAAAGTATTCATAATGAAGAAATGGAGGAATAAAAGGGATGAAGTACAAGTTATTAATTAGTGCTATTAAGTCCAAGGGGAAGCTTTGCTTTCATTAATCATTAGCGGCAAAATATAAAATAAAAGCTTTTAAACAATAAGATTGACATCGCTACAAGAGATGATTGACAACGAAACATAATAAACTCACCGAAATCAATTAATATACAGTAGTACGCTTTCTGAAATTACAATAAAATCTCAGTATGATCACATTACAGTAAGAACGAGAAAAAGCAATGAATTAAAAAGAAAAACGTTTTGAAAATCCTGTAGCTCCAGTATTTAGTGCGAGTTTAGGCATTTACAACTCTACAGTTGTTCCTTATTTCTCCTTCACCATCCGCGAGGACTCCAATAACGCCCATTTTCTTCATCGAACGGGCGAAAAATGCTAAGAAAACATGGGGATTTTGCAGTTTTCTTACAATCTGAGCAGAATGGGAGTTAGTCATTAACGCCGCATCAGATCTGAGTAAGCCTTTGTTTTGATTCAGAGCCTCATAGTAATGGCTATCAAAAGATAATGAACTTTTTGGATCCAGTTCTACAACAGTGTTTGGATTGATAGGGTTAGGGCACATTGTTCTCAACGTTGTAGCATAATTGGGATTCAATGAAGGATCTGCATCGCCCTTTCCTGTGAAATTGTCAAGTCTTCTTGCAACCAATGTGCAATGTGTTATTCNTAATTTAGAGTTACCTGACAAAGTAACTAAATCGACAATGTCCAAATCGTTGTCTTGAAATTGTTGCAAAAGAGTGGTGAAGTTTGCAAATGGCGATGGCAAGGTGGCTAACGCTTCCGATGCCTTTGATACTCTTCCGTCTTTCCTCCCTGTTGGAATTTTCCACATTGATCGTCCCAACTGTTTCCAATCAAACGTTAATGAGTTTAAGTTCTATAATAATATAAAAAAAATATTTAAACGAATATGTCAATTATAATTGTAGTAATTATAGATAAAGCAAGAAAAATTAAGCTTTCATTCTGCATTATATTGTATGTATGTTCTTACTTGGTACGAAACTGCATCTCGAGTTACCAAGGCTAGAATATCAACACAAGAAACTTTATGTGGGCACATTTCTTCTAGTTTCTTCTTTATATCGTCAATAACCTCGTAACCTCCTAGAGATCGATTTGGTAGGGCTGCTTTTTCTGCACTGTTTTTTTTGTGTGGAGTCTAGTAAAACTGATGCATCACAGCCCTGCAATTAATTTTTAGAATATAATCAAGTATTACATGTGGAAATGTAAAAACAAAACAAGGTTAATTGTACGTGAACGTTAAATAACGATTACACTATCAGCATATATAACTTAGCACACAGAGAGGTTAGGTGCATACCCTAACAAAGCAATCATGGTAGTGAAGGCGAAGTAGCTTTGCTGGCAAGCTGGGATCAGCAGCAACTCTGCTCCATGTAATATCCCTCACAATGCTTTCAACTGAAGGGCAACTTTTGTGATAGTAATTCATCTTCAGCTTATCTGCATTGCAAATCCCGAAAGCTACTACTGTAACAAATAGAAGAAAAACAAGATTACTTTGCTTCATTTTCCCCTTTTCTTTCTCCACACAAAAAATCCAATTAATATACTACTTATATATTAACTCGAAATATGTTAGTTGTTGGTCTTCGAATGCTTCTTTGGACCATATTTATATAGGCACTTTTATACCTCATTTGCCTTTGTTATTCAAATTATTGCTTTCTCATGGCTACTTCTTTGCACGAATTATCTAGATAGCCAACCAAAAATTGATACGTGTAGATTAACTGAATAATGGATTGTGCTTCTCAATCATATATACTATATAATTCATTGAATCATGCATGATTTTTCTTGTATTAGTTAATTAGTCATTGACCAAAGAAAAGCATTTTTTATTCGAGATGAATATTATAGCAAAAATAAAGCACTTCTGCCGTGGTGTTATGTGTTGGACTTTGATTCATGTTACCACTTAATTACCAGCAATAGACATCACGTTGCATGAAAATATTTTGTACAAAAAAAGAACAATTTTCAGCTTTAGGAGGGGAAGTAGAAGCTGCACTACAGTCAACACGTACGTTCCGAGAAACAAGGTGCATGGCTGTCTGACACTGCATCCTTTTGCGATTTATTGAACTAGGAAGTTACAAGTAATTACCATAAAGAACAAAAAAAAAAAACAATAGAAATGATAATGGAAAAGGAATTTTCCAAACTTCAGAAGAAACTTTCAGGAATTTTCCAAAATTCAGGAATTTCTTTTCTTAAAACAGCTTTTAAGTTCTCTAAAGATGTAACAGTTTGTTATTAAAAAAAATTTCATTTGCGCTAATTTGTCCTTGGTTTATAACTATGTGGTTTGGTTAGTGTATCTTCTGTAATCCAAGTCGAAGATCCTCTAACTCTTCTTTATCCTTGTTAAAAAATGTAAAATAAAGATCTAAGGAAGGTGAAAAGGAACATTTTCTTGAGCAACCTCCTATTTTACTTTCTAACTTGCAATACCCTGTATTCCAGGTTAATTAATAAGTCCTAACCTTTGCTTTAAACATACCCAAACCTTGAAACAATGAATTACAAATTGTTTGGTGAATGACGGACTTTGCTTGAAGGAGAAAACAAGCAAAAAAATATGCGGGGTGCAATTTTGAAGCACTCACGATTTTATAAAGACATTTATAAAGGAGACGTATTTTGCATGTTCTACGCAGCAGTGTTGAAGCCAAAAACTCAACCAAAAGAAAAAACATGAAACTTTGATGTTTAAAAGCGACCCCCTGTCATTAGATGTTATAACTAATGTTTCCTTGGAAATTAAAGGTTTATCCTGTTCAACATGGAGGTCAATCCCCCAAGAACAAACCTGTCTAGCCCGAGATCATCGATCTAACATGATCAGGAGACTGCAAGTATAGTCTTTAGGATTTCATTTTTCACATACAAGGACAATTAACTTTGCAATACATTTTCATCAAATGTTAACTGAAATGACTACCAAAAGGGTGAAACAAGAGCCTGAGTTGCACTGAATTAAATAATACATCAACAATATCCATCAGAGATATGAATCCAATGCCACTTTCCGAGTTGCTGTGAAAAGGCAGAGTTATACCGTGAATCAAACACTGCTGAGTCCCGAATGTAAGTTGTTTGTCCTGATTTTCTTACCATATTTGGTTAAGGAAAGGATAATGTTTTTATCATAATTGAGTTTTCCTTCTTTTGGAAGGAAACCATAAATCTCTCATATTTGGCTAGTCTAGGAAAAGGTTTGGACCTCTATAAATTTAGGATCCTTCCTTCTCGTTCAGTAGCATTCACAATGTAGCCATATGGAATTTGAGAGTCGTGTTTAGGGGAGAACTTTACGGGACAAGTGTTAGTGTGCCACTTGTGTTTGCCTCTTCGTGAGGTTGTTCTCTCGATATTTTGTACTCTCTTTTATTATAGTGGATTGCTCATCTCCGCCCGTGGACGTAGGTCATTGACCGAACCACGTTAAATGTTTATGTCTCTTTTGATATATTTCTCTTTTGTTATCCGATTTATCGTCGTTATTTTACTAGCTTCCGCATGACACTTGATTTTTTCGATCCTAACACATAAAAGTAAGATAATCATGCTTCATCCATGTCCCACCCCCTCCCCCCTCCCC